GCCAAGAACATGAGATTCATGGCTAGCGGTTTGAGGGAAGGCATAAACAAGAGCACATTGTTATCATCCCGAGACCCAACCACTTCTCTATAATCACACTCCTTGCACAAAGCATGTAGATGTTGAGAGCTAACATCAATGACCACAGCATCACTGCCGTTTTTTTTACGTCATCTCTGTTATCAAAGCCCACGGCCGCACATCATTCAACCACGATACCAGCTCTGCCTGCGGCTGCTGGACAGTCCACAGCTTCTCCCGTTTCCTCTTCTTTTGTTTCAACCCCTTCACGCACGTCCTCACCCTCCTTCTCCGTTCCGATGATCTCTTCTCCAGTCTCTCCTGGAAAAGTCAACACAGGAGATTACTAAGAGACCCTCATTCAACATTAGCAATAAAGTACCCGCGATTTGTTTCCCATGGGAGACGCTCTTGCTCTAAACTTACTGTTTAGACCTGGTTCTCTCAGCGCCTCTGGATGGCCACTGTCAAGTACTTCACCTCTCTGGGTCATGACCCCAGAAATGACAACAGAGCATATCACAAATAGAAAACGTCGTTGATCTCCTAAGCAAACAAAAGGGGGTCCATGGGGTGCCCAAGGACCTGTCCCATTTGGCCTTGATGGTGCTTAAAGAGAACACGAGTTAAACATTTAAAGCAATGGTTCTCAACCTTCCTCATGCTGCGTGCGACCCTTTTATACAGTTCCTCATGTTGTGGTGACCCCCAACCATCAAATTATTTTCGTTGCTACTTCTTCACTGTCATTTTGCTACTGTTATGAATCGGTGACCCCTGTGAAAGGGTCATTGTACCCCCAAAGGGGTCGTGACCCACAGGTTGAGAACCACTGATTTAATGATTGCCAACAATTATAAAGTTTGGACATCGCACACACAGAACTTCCTTAAGAAGTTGGTTTTGGCAACGCTGAGCAATCATCTGGAAGCAAGCAAGAGCTGCCTCTTCCCCCAAGACTGTGCTCTTCTGTCCCCCATGGCCACCCAGGGTCCTCTGAGGCGTCACGTGTGCCCCTCACTCCACTCCCTGAAAAAAAGCCCTTGGGTTAAACCGTGGCACCCCAGCTCCTAGCCCAAAAATGGTGGTTCAGATCCACCCAGAGGCACCTCCCAAGGCAGCCTTGGACCACTTGGACCACAGCCTGGAACATCCCATGAGCAGTTCTACTCTGCACCCATGGAGTCACCAAGATTCGGAAGTCAGCTGGACAGCAGCTGGTGAGCCCTAAAGACTTGAGTTTGCCACTCTTAGGCTAACCTACATACACTTTTAGTTGCTTCCCACTTGTTCCCAAAGCACTTTTTATACACCTTTATTAAAAAAAAAAACCCTATTTCAATTGACTGATGTAATTTTACATTCCGCCTTCACTTGCTAGCCCATGAGCCCCATGGGAGCAGGAGTTATTGCTTATTCATTTTGTATCCTCAGCACCTAGCACATGGTTAGGCACTTCAAAGACGCTGAGCTCATGAATCCAAGAATTAGAAAACAGATGAGAACCTTAATTGTATTGTGCTGGGAGCTAGAGTTTACCAGAATGCAAATCATACCCCAGGAGAAAATATTCTTTTTTATCGTAACTCTAATAAAGCACAGTTATCAATTCTATTTGATTGATACCACGAGGATACACTCAAATATTGTAAGTGCCACATGCCAAGACACCGTCTGTAGTTTTTTCTACTCTCATAAAGATAAAAAGACAAGAAGGGAGTGGGAAGCAGACTCATAGTCCTTCACTAAGGATAAAACTAGCACAGATGGAAATGAAACCCTAAGATCCATATGTGGTGTGTTCTTTTATTGAAGTCAACTCCTCCGCTGACCATCTCTAAGCCTTGACCTTGGTGTGCTCATGCCACACAGGTGGCTTCGTGAAGAAGGACATGGGGAAGTATCAGAGGCCCTGACAGGCAATCTGCAACATTTGGCTCCATGTCAGTCTAGCTGACGGAGGACACTGCAGGATGGAGCACTGCAGTTGTCGTGCACTCAACATGCCACACCTTTTCATCGATTGCCCTCCTGACCCAATGTATAATTGCTCCCGTTCTTAAGATTTCTCGGGGGGAGCGAGGAGGGAGGGGAAAAATGAGGACCTAATGTTGGGGGTTTAAGTGAAGAGAAAATGTTTTGAGAAACGATGTACAAATGCGCTTTACACAATTGATGTGTGTATGGATTGGGATAACAGTTGTATGAGCCCCTAATAAAATGTTAAAAAAAAAAAGATTTCTCTGCTTTCTTAACAATTGAGATGTTTCTGGCATGTCTGTGAAACTGTTAAAAAAAAAAAAAGTGAACTGACAGTCACCTGATTCCATTTAACAGCCAAGCTCTAGGTTAGAATTCTGGATACACACTATGCTTTCAAAAAGTTTTGTTGGAAAGCTGAACTGAGCATTCACAGAATTCCTGTCTCCCAGCAAGGGAAGCTTCCTGGCTTGGGTTAAATGAACTTCAACTACTTGACCTCCAGTCAGCTAATCCCTGCATCCTCCTACCCCCAGAGGGCTCCTACAAAGTCCATCTAAACATCCTGAACCTTTAAAAATGTTTGTTTACCTTCAATGTGCTGTGAATGGTTGGTGTGAATTTCCCGGACCAGTTCCACACTTGTCTCTGCCTCTATCATCCCTGCTGGATGCTCCAAGCTTCCAACTGTTCCCTCTAGCTGGATGTGTCCCATGCTTCCAGGAACTTCCAGAGCTTTGTGGAGAGAATCAGCGTCTACAGCTGCCTCCATAATCCGACTTCTGTCTGATAGTTCTGATGTTCCAGTCTCTCTGGGAATTGTGTCTAGAAGTGGAGGCTGCCCATCTTTTCCCTCTGTGGCTTGAAGCTGCTGCTCTTCAGCTGTTTCCCCAAGTTGACTGCCCTCCGGTATTTCTGGAGCTTCATTCTCTTGGGGAACGATTTCTGGAATCTGGAACTGGTCATCCTTATCCACCGCTTCTGGAGCTTGTAGCTCTCCTGCTGTTCCCCGAGGCTGCATGGCCTTGGCTGGTCCTAGCGGCTCCATCCCTCCTGCAGCGTGTGGACTCGCGGTGTCTTCTACTGCTCCAAGCGAGGTCTGATTTCCAGCCATCCTCACACACGGACGCTCAGCTTCTGTTCCTAAGAGCTCAGTCTCAGCATTCCCTTCCAAAGGCCGAGTTGTCGCTGTTTCTCTGTCTTTCTCCTTTTTGTCCGCTCCCGGCGTCTCATTTTTGCCAGCTGGCTGAGGGGGCCCAGATTCCTGAGCTCCCTCGAGAAGCTGAGCTCCCTGCTCTGTGGGTCCCAGTTGATCGGCTAATCCCTCGGCGGTGGATCTTGGTTGATCAGTTATATCCTCTCTTGTGGAGACCAGGGGCTGTTCATGGAGGGATTTAACACCATTAGCTGTAGACGCCGTAGAGATGTTGGGCTTTTCTGATGGAGAAAGGTTTTCTCTTGGAACGCTGCCATCAACAGTGGGCTTTTTCCCCGTTTTACATGGTTGAGGTTGGGCGAAGCAAGACTCATTCTGTGCTCTCCTTGGCAAACACTTATTTGAAGTGACTTTTTGGTCATTCATTTTAAAATAGGAAGCAAAGAGAAAACATTCATTAGTACTTAGGTTCTAACTTGAGAAAGTAAATTGAAATTAAAAAGTAGACTCAACAGTTCAAGATAGTCTCAGTACAATTGTGTACAGAAAGGTCAGACCAGGGCCCCAAAGCTCCCCCAGTCAAATATTTTCACTGTCTGTACCTCTAACACATTCTCTTCAACCCTGAGGCCCTCCAACACCACAGTGTTCTCTTGTTGGCTCTTTGGGTACCATGTCATGAGGCCTCTCCTCTCTTCTAATTGAGCACATTCCACTTTGGGTTCTCACTGTCTCTTGCCGGCCTCACCCTCCCTCCTCTTTGGACTGAAAAGCAGGTGGCATGGTGTTTGGTCCTTGGGCGGTGAGAGGTCTCCTTTTCCTTCAGAGGCAGAATGATACCGAGCGAAAGGAAAACGCCCGACGGCAGCGAGGCCCTGGCAGGTGCAGGCTAAGAGTTCTAGAGAGGAACGTGTTAAGGACAGCTCAGTCTGAGTTCCACAGCGTTGGGAAGCATGTGTTTTCATTTAGGCAATTCCTCAACCTGTGGGACCTTAAGAACTTGACTAAACCTCCAATTCATCTCACCTGTGAGATGTAGGTTAGGCTCTCCTTCCCACCTGTCTCAGCACGAAGCCTCATCTCACCTTAAACGGTGGATGGCAAGGTGCTTGGGACAGTTTATGAAGAGCAACGTGGAAGGCAGCAACACATCACCACCACCCCCACCCCCGGCACCCCCCGGCAAGGAACAACAGAAACCATGGAGGAAGGGAGACAGCGGCCGGTGTAAGATATGAAAAGAATAATCATTTATAATTTATCAGGGGTCACAAAGTGAGGGAGAAAGGAGGGAGGGATAAAAGAGGAGCTGATACCAAGGGCTCAAGTAGAAAGAAAATGGTTAGAAAATGATGATGGCAACATATGTGCAAATATGCTTGATGCAATGGATGTATGGAATGATATAACCACTGTAAGAGTCCCCAATAAACTGATCTTTAAAAAAAAAAAAAGAAAGAAAAGGAATTTGGTAATAATAAACTAACACTCTTGGACCCAGTGATCTTCCGCCTGGAAATTTATCCTAAAACCATAATCCTTAGGAAAATGTTCAAAAGTAAATGATCGCATGGCACTGTGTTTTTACTAGGAAGCAAAGAGAAAAACTTACTAGGAAAAACTGGCAAACAACCATAAAACCTAAGTGACTTAGGAGGGAGCTGGGCGAGTGTCATGCCTCGAAAAACATGATACAAAGACCATCTGCTGTATAATCGGGAAATAATTATCTCAGGTCCATTTACAAAATCAGCACTTACATCTGGGTCCATCAGGTGAAACAAAGCACACAGTTAAATTAGCTATCAATCTGACTTGTGTTGTATTGACTATTCAGAGGCATTTGACCCAGTGTTTCCTAACAAAGCACGAGTAACATTTTAAAGAGCGGGAATTCCAGGAACTGAACTAGGCTCTTGCAGAACTGGTGCATAGACCAAGAAGCAATCCTTGGACAGAACAAGGGAACATTGCACGGTTTAAAATCAGGAAAGGTGTGTCTCAGGGTTTATCCTTTCACCACTGTTTATGCAACCTGTGTACTGAGCAAATCATCAGAGGAGCCGAACTACAGGAAGAAGAATGTGCTATCAGGCTTGGAGGAAGACTTCTCAACAACCTGCGATATGCAGACAACACAACCTTGCTTGCTGAAAGTCAAGAGGGCTTGAAACACCTGTTGATGAGAAGATCAGGCTGCACCCGTCAGTACAGACTGCAACTCAGTAGCCAGCGAGTGACTTTGTATACAGTTCCCAGTGGAAAGGGAGGGAGAATAAGGGAGCAAGAGAGAAAAACAATAAATCACAAACAAAGGCAGCAAAGACTGAATAAAACAAACCAAACATGGAGTGGGACTCAAGGTGATCTTTTTCCCTCTATTCCACCCTCTTCCCCTCCCCCCCACCAAGCAACATCTTCTTACCACCCTTTATGGCTATATATGCCTTCTAGTTTAAAGACTTACCTGACCTACCAGATCTCCTCTCCACTTAATGCTTTTAGCTGTTTGGGGGAGTATGTTTATCTGTCTCTCTAAATAAATAGCTACTTCATGATTTTACTGTTTGGGACATTTTCATTAACTTCACTATGGGAGATATTGGAAGGACCGCTGAAAGGACAAACCGATCTGTCTTGGAAGGAAGGAGAACAGCCAGAGTGCTACCTAGAGGCAAGGATGGAGCAACCGCATCTTACATACTTGGGACATATTGTCCAGCGAGACCACTCCCTGGCGAAGGACATTAGGTTTGGTGAAGTGGAGGGGTGGTGTAAAAGAGAACCCTCAATGAGATGGATGAACACAGCAGCTACATCAACGGCCTCAGCCATGGAAACAATTGAGAGGCTGACGTAGGGTCACCATGGGTCAGAGCTGACTCCATGGCACTAAGCACACCACAACAATGGAAGGTAAGGAGCCTGGTGGCATAGCAGTTACTAGTTGGCCTGCAATCTGAAAAGTCAGCAGTGTGAAACCACCAGTCAGTTACACCTTGGGAAAAAGATGAAGCTTTCTACTCCAGTAAAGACATACATTCTCAGAAACCCTTATGTGGTAAACTGAGGGCCTGGATGAGGTCATGCAGCTAAATCCTCTATGCTCATAATTATGGGTCTGGAAAGCTGACTCCGGTGGGGGAAGACCCCCACGGTTATGAAATATAAGTAAATCTAATACACATTCTTATGACTGGATACAGTTTCTCCAATAACCACCCCATAAAGGAACTGTCATAAAGGAACTACTGTATAAGAGGAATCATTCCTGTATCTGTCTATCCTCTGTGCCTGGAGGTTATCTGTAGACAAGAGCAATCAGGTTCTGCAGCCGTAAAATGTAGCGACCCCCTGGGGAGAGCTCAGGGGGCTTTTGAAGTCAACTAGCACTAGGTGAAGACGATGACTCACCTTAGTGCTGGCTTGTCATGTGACCCCCTTATGTTTCCCATTGACTATGTACATGTTAGCTATATGATGTGCATGCCTTATGAAAGGTCTGTAAGTCCCATTACATATACTCATTTGACAATACATTCACTTTCTCAGTCCTGACAAGGGATGAGGAGACCCCGTGCCCAGCTGTCTGTCTGTCTTTAATATTTTCCACAATCACAAAGTCACTCCTGAGGACCCACCTGTCCAAGTGTTGGGGACCCCGTACCCCGACACCCATAGGGGCAGTTAGTTCTACATGGTCTTACAGGGTCGTCATGGGTTGGCCCCCACTGTGGCCATGAGTTTGGGTTTGGGGTTACGGGAGATAAGGACTTGTTTCTTTTTCTACTTACCTCTACCCTTTCACCCATTCCTGTCACCATGCAGTCACACTCCTTTTACTTCAGTCATTGAAAAAAAAAAAAAGTATTTTTTGGCGGGGGGCGTGGCTGGGGTGTGTGTAAATGGGAGCTAATAATATTGAGTACAGGAATGAATATGATGTCCTCAAATTGATTGTGGTGATGATTGTACAGCTCCTCTTAATGATTAAACTATTGCATGATCTGATGTGTGAATTATATGCCAATAAACCTGCTGTTGCTTTTTAATGTGTTTCACTCAGTCGTTTGTGAGCCCGAGTCAGCTGCAGGGCCCCAGTCACTCCTCTGCACAGAGTGGAGGGCGTCAGGCAGTCGGAAGAAGGGAATTTGTCCACAAACAGTTTAAAGCTCCCTCCTTTAATGAAGATGTTTGTGAGGAAGAACTGAGTCACAGGACTTTAGGTAAACATTTTTGTTTTAGTTTTCCCTAAGTTAAGAAAGGCCAGGGCTTGTCATTACCACCATTGACATAGTACTAACAATTCAGCTCCATGCCATTGGCTTGCCTGCAGTTCGAAGCCATCTGTCTCTCCACCAGAGAAAGACGAGGTGTTCTCCTCCCAGAAATTCCCAGGGGGTGGGGTCACTATGAGTCC